AGGCCCGAAATGTCAGCTTTCCTGCTCCTCCGATGCTGCTTGGCCTGCTGTGTTCATCCAGCTCTACACCTTGTTATATCAGATTCTCCAGCATCTGCAGTTCCTACTATCTCTGAAACAAAGCACTGGACTTTGTTGCTGGAGGGAAACAACTGAGCAGCAGAGATTACAAGAAACTTGTATTGAACCTTGGTCACACCACAATTGGGAGTGCTTTGAACAGTGATAGTCTGTGAAAAACAGATTGACTCAGACGATGCTAGAACTGAGTGGTCCTGGCCAAGAAAGAATGCGGAACCAGCTGGGGCTGTTTTCACTAGGAAAAGAAAGGTCTGAGGGATGTCCTGATAGATCTTTAATATTATGAAATTAGACAGAGACACGTTTCTATTTGCTGCCACAGCTAGTTACCATAAATGTTAGGTACTCTCTTTAATAAATCCCACAGGGGATTCAGGAGAAACCTTTTTCTGCAGAGAGTGGTTAGAATGTAAAAGTCAGTATCACAAGTAGTAGTTGAGGGACAAACAGAGATGCAAGTAAAGGGCTTGATAAATACATGCTGGAAACTGAAAAAAGATAGGTTGATAGGATTAGACAAAGAAAAAACTGGAGTGGTTTACATTGAGAAAAGAAACCCAGCATGGACCCATTAAGGCTGAATATCCTGTTCTCTGCTGGAAATACCATGTTATTCTACATAGTTGATGTATAATATCTGATCCTCATAAGGTTTATTCTCTTCCATATTCTCCCACTCCAATTTTACACCTCCTGCTTTAGCTACCACTTTCTCTGCTCTTCTTCCCCACCTTTCCTCATCTTGGTTCAAATTAGCACTTCTGCTTTTCCTGCAAGACCCTATGTCAACCTATGTCAACCAGCCCTCGTCACTGCATAACCATATGTCTTTGACACTAGGTGGTATTGTATTGTAATTTCCCCAAGAATTCAAAATGATTTTCATCCACAAATTCTATTTTTACTGTCCAAAATAAGGGTGTGACTAAAATAAAATGGTATTGAACAAATTACATATTTCACAGTCACACAATTACATTTATGTATTGAACTTTTCTCATTAACTTGATTAAAATTTGCTTTTATAAAGTGCTGCCACTGGCAAATGCCTGGGCTTACAGGAGAGCCTGAAGGGATTGCCAATGTTCAAGTTCAATATCTAGCAGATAAATTCCAGTTGTCTTAGTCTTGTCAAAACAGTCTTAGTGCACTGTTCAATCATACCATCCTTTTTGCATTGGGTTCGGGGCATTCAGCCCTTTGCATTGACATGCCTGTACTGGAAAAAACAGAAAGACAGCTGCATTGTTTACCTTCAATGTCCTAATACATTTCAGAAAATTATTTATTAAAAATAGTTGCTGTTTTAGAAGGAGGAAGGGGGTCAGATATGAGGCTAGAGAGCCAGAGAAACCTCCTGGTAACAATCAACACACAAGAACAAATTTTCATCAAAAGGTGATGGTTCTGTCTTATAAACTCCTTCAAATTGAGTTGGAAAAGTATCTAGGGTACATAGAGAGACAGGAATTGGGGGGTGGGGTCGAGAGAGAAGAGAGAAAGAGAGAGAAAGAGAGAGAGAGAGCGCGAGTGAGAACGAGATACACATGGAATAGAAAAGTACTTGCACTGCTGGAACAAACAACATGCAATTGGCAGAAAATAATCAGCCAAGGTTGAAAAAGTAAAGATGTGAGTATCAATGGACGGATTTCTGGAGTCATGAGACAGCTCATATAGAAGTTTACCTCACAATTTCTAGACGGAAAGTTTATACTGTACAAGAACAGACTTTTTTTTTTAGGTGAGTCGTGTTTAT